TCTACGTTATCAAGTTACTCCTTTCTCTTTTCTGATCTAGTTTGTTTCTCAGGCATAGTTTTGTTGACACAAGAAAGAACATCCTGAACTGTACATGGCCAGTCTTTTGGCTCTTGCTGATCAGTCTTTTAGCCATGACCTGTATTCCAACCCTGATATTTTCCTTGTCTCAACACTTCACGCCTTAGGGCCTTCAGCAGGGGGATAGGGAATCTGAAGAGAATATCAGGAAAAAGACAAAACTTGCAGACAAACCATAGATCTGAGGCTACAGCAGTGAGGAGAGGAAGAGAGTGGTCAAAATGGGAGGGAAGAGCACAAGGGACAAAGGGATAGATCATGGGGACTACACTTGAGGGGCAAAATCAAATAATGTACTAAAATGAACAATAGTGTAAGAAAACAATACAATAAAATAATTAAAAAGTAACAAATGAGCCTTCTTGGTGGCAAAGGGGTTAAAAGGCTCAGAGCTATTACCAGCCACTGCAGCACAAATTCAAGAGTTTGATTTTCAGCCAGGGAGTTGACTCACATGGCATAGCAGACCTCTCCTGTCTCGACAATGCTCCCCTCAGCAGTGTATTACAGTAGATCTGCCTGTCTCTGGTGAATTGTCTCACCCCCTGCCCCTCTGGCCTACACCACAGGTCTTGTATGCATACTAAATAAAAGTAAATCTTTTTTTTTAAAAAATAAATGTATCTGGCCCTCCCTAGTGGCGCAGCGGGTTAAAGCACTGCACTAAGAAGCTTAAGCCACTTCTGCATGAGTTCGATCCCCACCTGCCCTGGAGGTGACCACATGGCGTGGCAGACCTCTCCTGACCCGCCCACTGCTCCCCTCCGCAGTGTACTTCTTGATCTGCCTGTTCTGCTCCCCACTCTGTCCCCTGATGAATTCTCTCACCCTCCGCATCTCTGGCCTGTACCCCAGTTCTGTATGAATAAAATAAATAAATCTTAAAAAAATAATAATAAATGTATCTGACATATATTTGACATGTTTTACTAAATAATAATTGAATAAAACAAAAGATTTGGAGTATAAAATCTTTCTGTACATTGTTACATAAAATGATTTCTCAATCCTGAAATTCATTATGTCCCAAGTGAAACTGGTCTTACCCACTTCTACTCAGACCTGGCCCTCTTGTGCTCTGTGTCATTAGTGATACTTGTTTATCATCTTCATATTTTTCTATAACAACCATCATATCCATTCCCCTTATATTCCAAGATCCTCATATTTTCTAACTTAAACAAATGTAGTAGCCTGATTCATTTGTCATGAAATCACTTATAATACTCGGTGTGCCTTCCTTGTGACGCAGGGGGTTAAGTCTCAGCACTATGAAGCTATCAACAGCCACTTCAACAAGAGTTTGATCCCTGGCCAGGGAGCTGACCCACATGGTTCAGCAGACCTCTCCTCTTTCACCCACTGCTCCCTCAGTAGTGTATTTAAGTATCTCCTCCATCCTGCTCCCCACTCTGTCTCTTGTAAATCCTCTCACCACCACCCCCCCACACACATCTGGTCGACACCCCAGCTCTTGTACGCATAAACAAATGAATCTTAAAATAATACTCTGTGTATACATATATATATATATACACACACACACACACACATATATATATATGCTTATGTCTCTGTGTATATATGTACTTGAACATTATAATGGTCACAAGATTTTTTTCTGGTGATTAATAAGAATACTTAGAGAAAATTTAAATTTCAGAGACCTTAGTTTAGACAAAATTAAATTTTATTTTCACTTCAGAGTTTCAGAAACAATGAAGGGCCTGAGATTTTACTCTACTTGCTAGCTAACAAGTTAGTTGCCAGTTGCTTTGATTCTGGAGAACACATAACACCCCCTTGGTCAGAGTAGAGGACTTGGTTGCTTATAGCAACAAGAGTATCCAAAGTATTGGTATTTTATGGCACCAGTTTCCTAAGAATTGATTTAGTTCAGTGATGCTATATTAGTAATCTTAGAAATACAAATTACAGTAATAGTGATATAGACTATTTGCCCATTAGATCAAATTTTCACAGGAATGTGGGTAACAGTTTTCTACACTGATGGAGATAAGTATAAATTGGCACAACTACTTGGGAGGTCAAGTTGGTGCTATTTAATTTTAATTTAATATTTATGCCCTGTGACCTAACACTGCTACAGAATCATTGCTACATGTGTACAGGAAGATGTGTACAGGAAGATGTGTACATGGCTGTTCATTGCAACATTGTTTTTAATTGAAAAAGGGGGAAACCCAGAAGTCCAACAATACATAATTAATCTGAGAGTTAAATTGATATATTGGTTCTACAAAGGTTAGTTCTCTTACAGGTTGAATAAGAAAAGAAAGTTACAGAATGATACTGTGAATATGATACTGTTTATGATAAAATGAAACAGAAACAAAGCAATATTTTCTTTTCTATGATACACATTCATGAATAAATTCAGAAAGGTCTAGGAATGGTAACAGTGGCTGCCAAAATGAACTGACATTTGTCCTTCAACCCTGTTGTTTTACTTTAATGTTCATAAGGGAGTGGATTCATATATAAACTAGTGTTTTTTTTCAGGCATTCATTTTTTTAATTCAAAAGTGTGGGTGGGAGAAGTAAGCAAAGACTGAAAAATTTTGCTTAGTATTTGGGGAGTTTGATGGAGTGAACACTGGATCTAATTTTTAGCTTTGCAGACCAAGAAATTTTAACAGTGTAGACAGAAGATATCTGACTTGGGCATCTTTGTGCCCATTGACCAAACCATATAAATCTGTGGATGTTGGTAAGCAAAGGGCTAATCTATTTCTTTAAGAAAAACAAATAATTATATCAACTAATCATTATCTCCTCTCCCCTTGAAAGGAAAAGGCGGAGAGGAGGGACGGACGCCATGAGTCTGTTCCCAAGTTCTGTGACCAGCCGCAAGAAAAGAAGGCTTGAGGCAGAAAGGCTGAGCAAGCAGAGTTTATTGCTCCGGGACAGCAGCTGAGACGGAGCCCTAGAGTGGGATCCACAGCTACTGCCAACTCAATAAGGGGGAAGGGTCTCTTATATAGATTCCAAAGGGGGTGACTCATCGCTGTGTCCTTGATGTGAGGCCCAGTTCGTTATCACCTTCAGCTAGTCCCATCCTGGATGCAAGGTCAATTTATTACCACTTTATCAAGCTTGGATGCAAGGCAGAATTCTTTACCGCCCTAATTCAGTCCTTGTCAATAAATCTTTGGTCACTCCCAACATTAGAACTTGGGAACAGACTCACGGCGTCCGTCCCTTCTCTCCACTTTTTCCTTTCACCCCTTAAGGATTTTTTATGAGTGTGGAATCAAAGCAAGAGAACTGGATTATTTTTTACTGGTGTCTTCAAATTTTTTTTAAAGATTTATTTATTTATTCATATAGAACTGGGGTACAGGCCAGAGATGTGGAGGGTGAGAGGATTCACCAGAGACAGAGTGGGGAGCAGAACAGGCAGATCGACGAAGTACACTGCTGAGGGGAGCAGCGGGTGGGTCAGGAGAGGTCTGCCTCGCCATGTAGTCACCTCCGGGGCAGGCGGGAATCAAACTCATGAGGAAGTGGCTTTTAGATTCTCAGTGCGGTGCTTTAACCCGCTGAGCCCGCTGCGCCACCAGGGAGGGCCTGGTGTCTTCAAATTTTAATTGTCTTAAATTCTGTTGTCTTAAAAACTGAATTTCCGGGCCCTCCCTGGTAATGCAGTAGATTGGAGCACTGCACTGCAAAGCAAAGCCAAGCCATGACTGCTTCAGTGCGAGTTCTATCCCTGCCCAGGTGGTGACCCACATGGAGCAACAGACCTCTCCTGTCTTGCTCACTGCTCCCCTCAGCAGTGTACTTCATTGATCTGCCTGTTCTGCTCTCCACTCGGTCTCTGGTGAATCCTCTCACTGCCCCTGCACCTCTAGCCTGTACCCCAGTTCTGTATGCATAAATAAATAAAAATCTTAAAAATATATATTTGGGAAAAAATTTGAATTTCCTTTACAGAGTTAACCTGCTGAAGGTACCTGACTGCTGGCATCTATTTGTCAGGATCTCTCCCCTATGCTTTTTCTTTTTCCACAGATATAGTTATATCTTGTCAAAAAAAATATATAAGGAATATGCATAGGTCTTAAGTTCTTTACCTTAGCGATTCCAGTGTAGTGTTGCAAGCATACCATAGTCTCATAATAGTGAATAGAAAAATGTGATGCTTACCAGGAAATATTTGTGAATCTTTTAGAATTGATTTTGTTTTTTGTGTATGGTTGCCAGTTTTGTTTGGTTTTCACCACAGTTTTAGAAATCATTATCTTACCCTGATTTTGTTTCTTCTAAATTGAAAATGCACCCTACTTGAACTTTGTCTCAGCTATGTAAGAAACTTTTAGTTCTCATAAATGTGTTCTTTTTAAAATAATCTCTGGACAGATTAAAATGTTGCAATATGGGAGGTTTTCCATTCTAAAGGAGTAGAATGTAGTTTTCTTAGCCAGGAATTTATATTTGGTCAGTTGAGTGTACTACTTAAAATCATAGGAAGGCTTGGATTTGAATCCAGGCTTCACCTCCTAAGGCATATCACCTAGTCTACCTAAACCTGGGGCTCTTCTTTTTTAAAAGATTTATGCTTACAGAATGGGGTACAAGCCAGAGGTGTGATGGGTGAGAAGATTCACCGGAGATAGTCAGAAACAGTACAGGCAGATGTACTGAAATACACTGTTGAGGGGAGCAGCAGGTGTGTCAAGAGAGGTCTGCCACACCATGTGGGTCAGCTCCATGGCTGGGGATTGAACTTGTGCCGCAGTGGCTTCTGAGAGCTTCATAATGTGGTGTTTTAACCCATTGTGCCACCAGGGAGGGCCCGGTCTCTTAATTTTTGTAAAATGACTCAATTTCAAGAAAATGCCTGTTAAAATTACTTTCTTTATAATTTATATTTTCGTGGATTATTTTTTATTCAGCTAAACATGAATTCAGCTCCAACTTTCATCAACTTTCCTGCAAAAGGGAAGCCCAAACGGGGCGATACATATGAGTTGCAGGTGCGTGGTTTTTCAGCTGAGCAGATTGCCCGGTGGATTGCCGATCGAACTGATGTCAATGTAAGTTTTCCTATTTTGAAGAAATTTGCTTTGCCATTATTCACTTGAAGATGATTGGAAGGTCCTAACTGGTCTTGTCCCCATCCATATCACTGAAGTGTGGTAATAGTTTTGCAGTCCCTGTTCGTAAGTAGCATTTAACAGAATTTTCCTGATAAAATCAGTAAAGCATCCACTATTACCTTATTAAATTCACCATGGAAACTACTTTTTAACCTTATTAAGGTCATGGACTATCTAGCTATCTTTAGCAAATACTTGATTTAATCTAGAAGATGTTATTCAGTGGTTAAACAGATTATTTATTGTCCCTACTCAATTATGTTTTAGGAACCACTGTAGACTATTTTGATTATGATGAAAAGAAACATCTTTTTTCCTGAGAGGAAACCATACTAATTTTGATTATTTTCATTTCAAATTATTTTTATTAAATTACTTTGTCATACTTAAAAATACTTTTCTTCCCTTTCTATTAGATTAGAGTTATTAGACCACCAAATTATGCTGGTCCCCTAATGTTGGGATTGCTTTTGGCTGTTATTGGTGGACTTGTGTATCTTCGAAGAAGCAATATGGAATTTCTCTTTAATAAAACTGGATGGGCTTTTGCAGCTTTGGTGAGTGGATTTAAAAAAAAAAATTCTTAAAGTAGAATTCCTAATATTGTATTATTGTTAGGTAACATTTTGTTGTTTTCTTACCTGAGGGAAAGGATTTTTTTTTTTTTTACTTTATTCCTCAGAATCAATTTTTTCATTATTTCATTGAATGGGCAAAGTTTGGGAAAACTGATCATACAGTTATTTTGGTGTTTTGTTTTGTTTTGTTTTTGGTGTCACCACTATGAAAATCTGCAGCTCTTTAAAAAAAATTATTATAAAAGACTTTATGGTATTTGATTTTGAAACTTGTCAGCTTATTTATAATTTTAAGAGTGTTTCCCTTTCAACTAAATATTAGAGATTATTGTGATCTTTGTAGTGAAATATAGACCTTAACAAATAATTTATCCAAAAGTTTTTCATGTATTACTTGATGCACTTTCATCTACTTATTAATCTGATCTGTAAAGGGACAGCTTCATCATGTTGTATTATCATTTCATTTTTGTTTCCTAGTGTTTTGTGCTTGCTATGACATCAGGTCAGATGTGGAACCATATAAGAGGACCACCATATGCTCATAAGAATCCCCACACAGGACATGTGGTAAGGGGAGTCTGGGATTTCTTTCCATTTTATACCAAAGTTAACCTTAGTGATGATTGTCCTGTGAGACCTGTGTCAGTATATGGAACTAGATTTGGTTTTGACTTTCCAATCTCTATATTAATGAAATTCAATTGCTGAAAAGACTATATTCTACCTCAGTGTACCTCATGTATAGTTGTGTCATATTTTCTGTTGCTTAAAGCTGTAGGATATATACAATGAAAAGGCAAAGAATAAATGATACAGAAGTAGCTTTTATTTTATCCAAACTTATTTATTGTTGAATGTCACAGACCCAATGCCTGCAAATGTCAGGTGAATTTCATAAGGTTTGAAAATAGCCCCTTTTAAGATTAGGAAACCAAATTTAAACATATATTTAACAATTATTTTGTCTCTTTTTTCCCCCAGAATTATATCCATGGAAGCAGCCAAGCCCAGTTTGTAGCTGAAACACACATTGTTCTTCTATTCAGTATCCTCTTTATAATTCGTCTTTGCTGTTGTTTCTATTTGTCTATTTACTCAGAATTTAAGATTGTCTTCACAGCTTTTGGTTAAGACTACTCTTTATTAATGCAAGTTACGATATCTTTTTTTTTTTTTAAGATTTATTTATTTGTGCATACAGAACTGGGATGCAGGCCAGAGGCTCAGGGGCGGTGAGAGGCTTCAGAGACAGAGCAGGAAACAGAACAGGCAGATGGACGAAGTACACTGCTGAGGGGAGCAGCGGGCGGGTCAGGAGAGGTCTGCCACGCCATGTGGTCACCTCCAGGGCAGGCGGGAATTGAACTCATGAGGAACCGGCTTTAGATTCTCAGTGCTGTGCTTTAACCCGCTGCGCCACCAGGGAGGGCCAAGTTACGATATCTTTTAAATTATATTACTGTGTCATCTGACCTAGGCTAATCAGCTAAAACTCTTTATTTGAAGCTCTGTACCTTGGTTGTAAATTGAGGCTACTTAAATCCTCCAGGCAAGAAGGGGATGTTTCCTTCTTACTGATATCATTTCAGTGAGATTATGATTTTAGAGAACAGTGTTTTATGAGTGAGAAAACACTAGTTACTGAAAGATAGGTATTATATTGATAAGCAGCTATAGCATGCCTTAGCGAGAAATACTACTTCCTGTGAATTTTGTAGCGACTTTATTTATGTGTTGTTCCACCTTCTCGAATGGCAGGGCATATTTTTCCTTGGTCACTCCCAACTAATTTTTACTTTCTCATGTCTGGAAAGTATGCCTCTGTAAACTTCAGGAGTAGATAGCAGTGACATCAGATATGTTGGAATCTAAATTTCATACTACTACTGTGCACAGTTAACCTAACTGAATCCATCCATAAGCAGTGACTGTGGAACAAATCAACAAAGTAAGCAAATGTGATTCTCTAGATTTGTGCTCTTCAGACAAGGCGTCCTGATGCTGATATATGGGGATCAGTTGTATCCCAAATTGTTGGGAAATCTGCCCAGTGAGTTGATGGTAAATTCATTTGCCCTGACTTCTCATCATCTAGTTGACATAGAGATCATCTCGTTCAACCCTTATTCTAGCAAAAATGAACTGTACTAGCTAAGAATAGGCTAAGAACTTGGACAGTGACTACAACCAATATGAGTAATTACATATGTTATTTTAAAAAAATGACTATGCTTATACAAGTAAGATAGAATAAAGAAATTATGTATTTTTGAAATCCTAAAATTTATGTTGAAAATGTTTGTGGTTGGTGAATTAACAAATAATTATACCTTGGAGCTATTTCAGTATCAGGTAATAGTCCTAATCATACTTTAAAATTGAATACTGGAGCAAACAGGTAGTTAAAATTGTAAAATACTAATTAGTTGATTTGTGGTTCATATTAGTTGGTTTAGCTTCGTATTAAAATTTTAAATATAATTATAGAAAACATTTGAGATATTCAATTTTTCTTCTATTTAAATGATTAAGCAATAATTTTTCACATTCTGTTGGAACAGATCATAAGCCTATAGGATATAGAATTTCTTACACATTTACTTAATAGGATGCAAAATGGGTATTATTTTTCAGAGTGATTTTCTTTCCTTTGTTTTGCCTGTTTGGTAGTGATTGGATCAGTTTAGGTAATATTTTCTGAGCAGTTATTTTGCTAAGTGCCATGGATCTATGATTTGCCTAAGGAACTTACAGTACTAGGACAAATGTCCATGTATAAAGATTTTAACATACTGCCGTAAGTACTGAGTCTAGGTCAGATGGTAAGACAATGAATAAAGCTATTTACTTTGTAAGTGATAAGAAACTTTATGGAAGACTTACACAGTACCCCCATTTATTACTAGACTTAAAGTCTAAATACTCAAAACTCTAAAGTCACAATGTAGGACCTCCATGGGGACCTAGGAGTTAAATCTTAGCACTGTCATCTCTATAGCCTAAATTCTATCCTGCCCAGGGAGCTGATCCTCATATGGCACAGCAAACCTCTCCTTTCTCAACTGCTGCTCTCCTCAGCAGTGTATTTCAGTACATTTCCCTGCTTTGCTCCCCACTCTGTCTCAACCCCTCTACTTCTGGCCTATACCCCTCTTCTGTGCATTTAAAAAAAGAATCTGTCTAATGCTTTGGATGTTTTGTCTATGTTATATTCCAAAAGGGTTTTACTAAAAGGGGAGGGAGGTTTGCTGTGAGAATGTGTATACACAGTAATATATCCTAGCAAGTACTAGCAATCATTGTTACTTAACATTACTCTCCTTTTCTAAAATTACTAATTCAATAGGCAAAGAAATTATAGGTCATTTTTAAAATCTATCTTAGACAATAATAAGGTAATATAAACATTTCTATAATTTCATTACTGTGCTTCATCTTATGCCTTCTTCATATATAACTTATTTCTCCTAGCTATGTAGAAGCCTAGTTCTTTTATGTTATGGAATACCACCATCTTTATTTCCCTTTTAGTTTTCCCAGACAAACATTTCCTTATGATTTTATAATTATTTACAACTTGTTTCATTGTTTATATTCCCCACTAGAGTGTGAATTTGTCAAGGAAGGAACTGTATCTCATCCAACTTTGTAACTACAACAGCTAATAGTGTCTGCCATATGGTAGGCAGTGTTAGAAAAAAAATTAAGGAATGAGTAAATGAAATGAAATAATACACATGGAAGTATATCATAGGTCTTGATAGCTATGAACAGTACATAAAGACCTTTGAGATGGAAAACACTTAAGAATGTAAATGGTGATACAAAAGCCAACCATTCCAAAAACAAATCTCAACCTTAAATCTGTGTAACCTGTAACCAAAGCCTATATAAATGATCAATCTTTGCACTTACCCAGATATAAAGAACCTCAGTGAGAATAGTTAATCACTGGATGGGGCCTCCCTGGTGGCGCCAGGGGTTAAGTCTCATCAGTATGAAGCTGTCACTATGAATTGGATCCCCAGCCAGGGAGGTAAGCCACATGGCACAGCAGACCTCTGCTACTGCAACCGCTGCTCCCCTCAGCAGTGTATTTCAGTGGATCTGCCTGTTCTGATCCCCACTCTGTCTCTGGTGAATCCTCTCACCCCCACACCTCTGGCCTATACCCCAATTCTTGTATGCATAAACAAATAAAATACATCTTAAAATAATCAAGAGGCCAGTAGTGGTGAGCACTGTTCATTGAATCTTCCTGATCCAGTTCACTAAAGCTTTGTTCTTTTCTAGACTGATTCTCATCCTTTAACTTTCTCTGGAAGATTATCCATTCTGATAGGTCTATTCTTGCTAACACATGGCACAGCAGACCTCTCTTCTGGCTTTCCTGCAGCTCCTGTCACCAGTGTATTTTAGTCAATCTGCCTATTCTGCTCTGCACTCTTCCTCCCCCCCACCCCAGCTCTTGTATGCATAAATAAATCTTTAAAAAAAAACTACCAAAACCTAATGTCTTGAGAAAAAAATAAAAGCTCAGCTAAGCAACTAAAAACATAATGAATGGGTATTGTCCCTAACAAAAGACTATTGAAAAGAGTACAAGATAGTAATGGAAAGATGAATAGACAAACTAAAATGCTAATTATAAATTCAGACTTTACTACTGAAAGTTTGATTATTTATGGGGTATCCCTGATGTGCAAGGAGTTAAAGCTGCAGTACTATGAAACTATCCAAAACCACTGCAGCAGGAGTTGAATCCTTGGCCAGGGAGCTGACCCACATGGAGCAGCAGACCTCTCCTGTCTTGCTCGCTGCTCCCCTCAGCAGTGTATTTCAGTATATCTGCCTATTTTGCTCCCTACTCTATCTCTGATAAATCCTCTCACTGACCCCCCCCAACCCCCGCCCACCTCTGACCTTACCCCAGTACCCCAGACCAGGGGTGCAGGGAGTGGGATGGGTTGAACTCACTGCTAACAGCCTCATAGTGCTGTGCTTTAACCCTTTGTACCAGCAGGGAGGGCCCTCATTACTCATCTTTTTGTGGAAGCCATTCTACTGATCCCAGATGGGAAAGCAGTATATTTCAGAAATGCGTATGAAGATGAAGCAGTGGTTGAAAGAGTGTACAGGAAGGACATTTCAAAGTGCAATTTTGGGAAAAAATCATTCCATCTAAAATGTTATACTGAGATTTAGTTTAAAATACCAGTGTTTTTATTTATACAAATGAAGTAATTTTCAAACCTTAGTCTTTTATTCTGTCTTTCTAGTAAATATTATACTACATAGACACTTAGTTTTTTGAAATTAAGAGTTTGATTTATAGATTTATTCATTTTAATTTTCTTCATAAACGAATAGGAATATGAAAGTGCTATGTCTTTGTGTCTATGAATTTCCTTAAGCATCTTTTCTAAGATGGTGGGGTTACCTTAGGGATGGTACTTTTATGTGAAGCTGCTACATCTGACATGGATATTGGAAAACGAAAGAGTAAGTCAATCATATGCCAAAAACATAACAATTCTTCCTTGAATACAGAGATAGGAGTACCCTCTTACTTTCTCTTTTAGTTATATGTATATTATTCTACCATTGAAAAACTAGTAATTTAAGCTGTAATATATTCCTGCCACTTTTGTAAAAACATCTATAAAACTGCATAAAATTTTGAATCGTGTACCCCCCGTACTGTAATTAACTCACTAATACTTTCCTCCCTGTAATTTAAATTTTTATTTCTGATTTTGTCACATTTAGTTTTTCAAAATGTTCTTGTAATAAATGCTACTTTCGTGACTATCATGGTATATTAAGCTTTATCTTCATTTATTATTAATTCCTTAAGGTAAATTCCTAGAAGTGGAATGAATTTATATAAACTGATACTGTCAAATTTTTTCCTTGGATGATATAACTTCAGTGCCTACTAGTTGTACTTAAGTGTGTTTATTTTATTATAACCTTATCAGCATTAGATAACGTCATGAAAAATGTGTGTTTGCTAATCAGATAATGGGGAAATGTCAAATGATTTTGTACTTGGTTATTAGGTTATTAGATTCGATGTTTTCTAAAATATTTATTAGCAATTCTTGTTTTCCCTTCTGTAAGATGTCTTTTTCTCTTTTGCTATTCACCTATCAGCCTTTCTCCTTTTCCTAGACTTTTTATAAGAGTATTATATGTTGGTATTTGTTTCAAGAGATGCTAACAGTGTAATTTTACCTACATTAAATCAATTTAAATCAATTTTCATTTTATAGTTTAAAAGCTAAGCATTATCAAAATTAACCTAGCTAAAGTTGGTTAATTTTTCTTCTAGAAAAATATGAAAAGAAATTTGGATTTCAAATCTGGGTGAACCTATTTTGATGAATTTTTAAAAAGATTTATTTATTTATGCATATAAGAACTGGGATACAGGCCAGAGGTGTGGTGGGTGAGAGGATTCCCCAGAGACAGAGTGGGGAGCAGAACAGGCAGATGTACTGAAATAGACTGCTGAGGGGAGCAGTGGGCTGGACAGGAGAAGTCTGCCACGACATGTGGGTCAGCTCCCTGGCTGGGAATTGAACTTGTGCTGAAGTGAATGTGGATCACTACATAGTGCTGCGCTTCAATTCATTGTGCCACCAGACAGGGTCCTTATTTTGTTGAATTTAAATGAAGTTTTACATATTTGCAAAATAGAACTAGGCCTTCCCTGGTGGCACACTTCAGCACAGTGAAGTTATAGGCAGCCACTGCAGCATGAATTGGATCCCCAACCAGGAAGCTAACACACAGGGTGCAGCAGAACCCTCCTGTTTCATCCAGTGCTTCCCTCTGCAGTATATTTCAGTCGATCTGCCTGTTCTGCTCCCCACTCCCCACTCTCTCTCTCTCTCTCTCTCTCTCTCTCTCTCACACACACACACACACACACACACACACACACACACACACCAGCCCCTCCAGCATACACCCCAGCTCTTGTATGCATAAATAAATGTTAAAAAAGGAGAAAACTAGAATTGATGCATCAGGTCATTATTCACTCAATATGCACCTTTTTCATTGCCTGACCCTTTTTAAATTGTGTATTTGAGTGTTCATTATTGAGAAAAGACCTTGGTACACTGTACTGTTAAGATGAATTTAAATTGTAAAACATTTTCACATAATATGTTGAAATAATCACAATTTAATATACTTCTGAGTTTTAACTCAACAAAATAATTAGAAATAATAACAAACATTCAGTACTCTTCAATGTGCCAGGAACTGCCCTAAGCACTTTAGATATGTTACATGAAAAAGTTAGACTATGAACATGTAGTAATGTTATGCATATACATGTATGAGTGCATGAGTATTTGTTAATGCTCAGAAAAAATATGTTTAACATTTGTGTTTTAACCTCTTATTTTGGGTGAAAATTAAATAACAAAGTTTCCCTATGTATAGCAAAATGAAAAAAAAATATTCTCAAATAAGTGTGTTACCTAGAACTTCTATGGTTGTAGCACATGTTTCATGTTTCCCCTCTACGCTGCTTTAGCAATTCTAATTCCAGGGACTTATAGAGCCTCAAGTTATGGGAATCCATGCTAGAGCATTATGGGGTCAGTATTTGCGTTAAGATGGTTAACCAGAGCACATGGGACTAGTGAAGAAAATTTAGGACTGCCAATTAAGACATCCCCCATTATTCAAATGAGGAATCCATGTTGAATAAGTTCCTTATATATAGGCAATATCATTACTTGTGTATGAATAAATTACTTTTTATAGCCTCAAGTGAAGCTATAACAATGATTTTTTCAGTTACCTTAAATAAATATAAGCAATAATACAATAAAGCTACTCTTAAGGGCTTAAAATCTTAAGTTATTTTTCTCTTCAGTAGTATTTTCTAACACTAAATTCTTAAGTGTAATGACTTTAAGGGAATTCATTGCATTCAACTGAATTGCATACATATATTAACAGATACTCTATTATATTTATGCCCTAGTATTTATAATGTTTAACATGCTCTTTTTACTGTTTTTCTGCAGTAATGTGTGTGGCCGGTATTGGACTGGTTGTATTATTCTTCAGTTGGATGCTATCTATTTTCAGATCTAAATATCATGGATATCCATATAGGTATGATCCTTAATTTTTATCTGTTTAGTGGTTAACTATACTTAAAATGATTATGATAATTGCTTTATGAGTGCCAAATAATATAATTCCTATTCCTTTAATACAACATTGTTTGGCTATACAAAGAATGATGAGCATTTAAAGTATCTTAAGAAATATTAAATGGTATTTCTCTGATAAATTCATAGTTATTTTTTAAAGATGTATTTAATTATGCATACAGAACTGGGGTGCAGGCAAGGTGAGAGGATTCACCAGAGACAGAGTGGGGAGAAGAACAGGCCAACTGACAAGTTGCTGAGGGGAGAGGTCTGCCACACCATGTAGGTCAATGGGTCACTTCTGGGACTGGTGATAGAACTCACACCAAAGTGGCTGCAGCTTGCTTGCAGTGCTGTGCTTTAACCCTTTGTGCCACCAGGGAGGGCCCATACTTATTTTTAACACAATTTTTTAGTAGGTAATTTTGAACAATTTCCTGATATACTGTATTCTGACATTCCTAGATCCCTTTTGATTAATGAGCATCATAATCTTTTGCTTTTTTTCTTCTAAGACCAAAACCTACTAGAATTATAATTCATGACATAATATTCCAACTTAATATTTTTATTCTTCTGTGTATTTATATGGTTAAACAATTTCTCCTCTGTAGCATGCTAACTGGAGTGCAAGGATATTCTTGCTGAATACATAGTTAATCACCTGGGTTGATTCAGTTATTGCTTAGAATCTCTATTCTGGACACATGTAAATTTGAGATTATTGTCCATTTCCTTTTCTCCTGAGATCATCTCAATATCTAAGTGCTTTACACATTTTGTTACTGATACTCCAAATTTATTGTACCTGCACCCAAATGCCCTTTGTTCTGTTAACATCAAGATAATGTATATTTATTCAGATAAATACTCAAGAAAGCATTTTTCTCATCCAAAGAAAATAAAAACACTAACTTTAAAAGATTTATGCACCCCCATGTTGCAGCATTATTTACAATAGCCAAATTATGGAAACAACCTAAGTGTCCACCAATGGATGGATGAATAAAGAAAATGTGTGTGTACATGCATGTGTACACACACACAATGTAACTTTATTCAGCCATAAAAAATTGAAATTTTGCCATTTGAAACATGTGTAGATCTCAAGGGCATTCATTCATTATGCTGAGAGAAGTGAGACAAGGAAAACTACCTTATGATCTAACATGTGAAATAAAAACAGAAGTCAGGGGCCTCCTTTGTGTTCTAGGGGTTCAGTCTCAGCACTATCACGACCATGGCTTGAGTTTGATCCCCAGCTCAGAGATCTACCCCACAGATAGCTCAGCAAACCTTTCCTGTCATACCTGATACTCCCCTCAGCAGTGTATTTCAGTCAATCCACTTGTTCTGCTCCCCACTTTGTCTCTGGTAAATCTTCTCACTCCCATCCCCCCCAAACACACTTATGGCCTATACCACAATTCTACACAAAAATAAATAATATTTTTAAAAAAATAAATAGTGCTTTAATAAAAACAAAAGTCAAGCTCAAAGATTCATGATTCCTAGTAGAGGCTGGAGTTGGGAGGTGGACAGATTAGGTAAAGCAGTCAAAAGATTAATTCCTAAACTTCCAGTTATAAATTAAGTAATGGTATATAATATACATAATTTTTGACAGTTACTAAAAGGCCAGATCTTAAAAGTTAAAAGTTATCATCACAAGAAATATTTGGTAACTGTACATGGTGACATATTAACTAGACTTACTGTGATCACTTCATGATTTGATAAAAATATCAAATCATTGCATTATAAACCTGAAATAAACATAATATAATATGTCAGTTATGCTTCAATTTAACAAAATAAGCAGCATTTGAAATATTGGCATGAAAAGCTCAAAAAGTTTTAAAGCAAGTAAGTCACACCTAAACAAAACATCTGTCACATTTACAAGCTATCCTCATTAAAATATTAATAAATAGGTCCCTTTCTGGTGGTGTAGCGGGTTAAAGCATTGTACTTCCACATGGCACGGCAGACCTCTCCTGACCCACCTGCTGCTCCCCTCAGCAGTGTACTTCGCTGATCTGCCTGTTCTGCCCCCCACTCTGTCTCTGGTAAATCCTCTCACTGCCCCTGCACCTCTGGCCTGTACCCCAGTTCAGGATGCATAAATAAATAAATCTTTTTTTAAAAAAAGAAAAAGTTTGCTTTAGGCAGGGGTATGTAAAATAGAGGAAAAGCTAATGGTTTCTCTTTGATGTTTTCTTTTCTTTCTTTTTTTTTTTTGCCTTTGTTCTACAGTTATTTGAAATGTCCTAAATAACTTTAAATTCAAGCTCTTCTTTTGGCTAAGAGCTAAGGAAGGTTACCTTGGTATCCTACATAGCTCCTGCAAAGATCTGTACATTAACTGAAGTTTACTTTTTTGAGCTTTATATACCTTTTAATATAAACCTGCTTTTCCACATGGTTTTCAAAACTTATGTAAGAATTATGCTGACATTTTTTGAGGTATTCAAAGATATCAGTAATCCCATTTTCATTATATGCCAACTTTTTTCATGTTCCCATTCATTTACTCCCTAAGGGTATTTTTATACATGATTGTTGTCATAGTGTGCATATGATAGGGATACATTTTTCTTGCCATTGGAAACATTTGTTTTAATTGTTTTTAAATTTAAACATATTGAGATGGAAAAAATGTACAAAATGATGTAAAAATAAACTGTTATATTATAAAAAATTAAACATGTACTAAATTATTATAAGTAAAGCCTACTTTTCTTTCAGAGACTTAACAGACCAATATACATTTTGTTTCAGCTTTCTGATGAGTTAAAAAGACTGCAGAGATATGTAGCTACTGAAGCAATGGAAACTGAAACATGAAGAAACATGTGTGTTTGAAAAAAGAATGCAACTGTGTCTTTTGTATTACCTCTTTTTTCCAAGTGATTTAAATAGTTAATCATTTAACCAAAGAAAATGTGTAGTGCCTTAACAAGAAATTTCCTGTCAAAATCATGAAATATTTAGATACCATTCTCTTCTTAACCCTCATTTCCCAAAAAAAACTTTATGGAAACATTTAATTTACAAAAAAATATGTATTATAAAATTTATTAAACAACTATCATTTTAATGAGAACAGTATTCAAAACTGCCTTAGTTAACTTTTGGTCATCTGATTTTATCCGAAGGTAAGAGGGAAAGTTCTGACCAGTAATTTCTGTGTAAGTGTGTTAATAACTGCATCATGAATCCATTCTTAGCTTTTCCATTTTTGCTGGATGTGTATGCTTTGCACATCTTTCCTTTTTGGTAGAGAAATCATATATATTCTGTAGTCTTCTGAAATAGAACACCATTCTGCAGAGTTTGTATCTAACCTTTAGAAAGCAAAAGGAGCCAGTCCTCTTCTAGCCCTGCCCCCTTCTCCCACCACAGTGCTATCTATGCTTCTTGATAGCTGTAAAAATTAAAATACATCTATGAATACACTATTATGATTTTTATTATTTCTACATGAGTGTGGTGTTCAAGTTTCCTAAATTTATTTAAAGGTGGACCCCTCTTTAATAAAAATGTGGCCTAGTGTTTAAATCAGTATAATTTAAGAATGGTCTAAAATGGTTTTGTAAATTAAAATTTTTCAGTTATTTAATTTGTACCTAAGGGGGGAAAAATAGACTCAGCTGGTTAAGTTGATTTTTGTATTAGAGTTACAACATATTTCATTAACCCTTGTGCATAAAAAAAGGAATCCCCTACACTGGGTAAAGAAAATCATAAATACTGAATTATTGCCTGTGAAGAAAAAGTAAACATTTCTTTAAAGCTGTTCTTTTTTGCTATTATTGTAGCCTTCATTCTATTTCTTTAAGTGAAGAAACAGTAAACTTTTGAAGAGGGTTTGAGTTTTGTCTTTTTTTTCTTCTAGTAGTGGAAATAACATGTATATGCTAACCAAATTTCTGTGAAGAATGAGAGTTGATGTTTATCATTAAATCTAGCTGTCATCTTCCCTATAATTATGAAGAGTAATTTGAGGTGCCTCTACTAGGTAAATATGGGAATTAGGATTGTGAAAAAAGGGTTTAAGAAATCTTACAAGTATTACATGACAATAATACTATGACTCCCTGCTACGTTTTACCATCAATAACTTTCCTACATGGTCTAGAATTTTATATAATAGGGATTTGCAGAAAGAGATGAAATATATTTTTTTTTCTAAATTTGGTGGGTGGGAGGTGTAGTTGAACTTTTACTCTTTAGTGGAGCCGCTTCTGTTAATTACTCCCCTGTATATTATGTAATTCTGGATTCCTTATCTGCTGTTTTTGAGTTTGTCTCAGGCCAAATAAATTTATGCTGTGATTCTTATGAGACTTGTATGAAGATATCCAGCTTTGTACAGACTGTCCGGGAGAATACTACTGCCCATGTAATCTATGTAGCTCCAGATAATTTGCTATGAGCATTGAAAGAATAATAGGGTTTTTTTTGTTTTTGTTTTTGTGTTGTCTCCCTGAGAGTGCATTCTTTTGTAAGATAAAAGTCGCATTGTGGCTAAAATCTGTAGAAGCAAATTTACTGCACTTAGAATAATATTACTATTATGGAAAATTTGAAATTTAGCTTTCATCTGAAGTGCCTTAAGTATACTCTTAACTTACTTTTCTAGTAATGGTTTAAATATAATTTCTTATGGAATTTTTAAATACTATTCAAAATGACATATTATGGTTGCAATAACCAAATGTCTGTCTGCTTTTCAACAATATCAATAAACTTTTACAATCTAAGTTCTGAGTTTTTGATTAACATCGAAAGAGGAATAAATTTAAAACATTAATCTGAAATTGTAATGTTAGGATATTCCATTGTGAAATTATTAAAGCTATTATTGTCCTAATGACAGTGAATTTGATAGAGTAAGAATTTTTGAATTTTTAATACAGTTCAAATCAGCCCACCTTGTTTCATTCCAGCTCCTTTACTGCCAAATCTGTGGACAGGGATTGTTTCAGTTTCTCTGTTGCTTCTTTGTCTTGTCAAGGTTTACAAGTATCCACTGCATAGGACTTTAAATTTCATGTTTTTCTTAATCTTGACAGACTTGGCATCCTTTTGTCAGGCTGTGAGCCAAAAGTCCTTGATTTCCTCAGTATCAAGTATCTGAGGCATGGATATGGGTCACACAGGATTGTGTGCTATCAGCACAGCCACTGACAAGAAACAAGGAAAATAGAAAAGAAATATAAGTTAGGAATTTGATAGGGGGGCCCTCCCTGGTACACAGTAGGTTAAGGTGAAACACTACAAGCTAGCCTTAGCTGCTTCAGTGTGAGTTCTATCCCTGGCCTTGGAGGTGATCCACATGGGGCAGCAGATCTCTCGCCCACTGCTCCCCAAGGCGGTGTATTTCAATAGATCTGCCTGTTCTGTTCCCCACTCAATCACTGGTGTGTCCACTCACCCCCTGCACTTCTGGCCTGTTACCCAGTTCTTCTGTGCATAAATAAATAAATCTTTTTAAAAAATTGATAGGTTGGGCCTCCCTGGTGATGTAAGAATTGGAGTTTCAGCACTCTGAAGATACTGCCAGCCACTTAGGCATGAGTTCAGTCCCTGGCTTGGGGGCATAGCCATAGCAGACCTTTCCTGTCTTGTCCTCTGCTCCTTCAGCTGTGTACCTCAATGGATCCACTTCTACTTCCCACTCTGTCTCTAGTTGGTCCTCACCACCACCCACTCATCTCTGGCCTGCACCCCAGTTCTTATATGCATAAATAAGTAAAAATTAATCTTTAAAAAATTAAGAAGACTTTGATTAGGTAAGTATCCTTAAGTATTTATAAATAGAGGTACTTAAGTAGATGAATGGCTATTTTCAATAGTTGAGCTAGCCTTTAGCTCCATGTGCTCACTTCTCACATACACTTTATGCCATCTTAGTGTTCTGTAATGGTAGTGCTGTCAAGAGCATCAACAATGCCAAAATAGAGGAGAAGGTCAGGTTCTAATTTGGCTGTGCTCTAAAGTCATTGTTTTCCAATGTGATGAAGTATGGTTATGTTGATGAATGTTAAATCATGTTAAATCATTAATGAACACAAAGTTGGGAAAACTGTTGTGAATCTCAAAAGTGGGTTAAACAAATGTGGAGTGAATCAAGCCCACCAAGATCTGATGTGCAGCTCAAAGATCTAGAAAAATATCAGAATAACTTGTTCCCATATGTGACAGTTTGATTTCTTTGTACTGACAACCTCAGCAGGCATGATGGACCATGAGGAAGCAAGACGAGAATACATAAGAGGGAGAATCTTGGGATTCTTTTTTTTCTAGAATGTAATAGTGTTAGTGCAAATAAAATACCTCAATATTCAAAAAAGTAGTTGATCTAGCATTTTTCCCAGTCAGTGAACACTGCAGTGTACATTAGCTTCTTTGGGTAATAATTGATTTGAAACGGTCACAAAGATGTCATGTTATGATGCTGCACAACAGTACATTTGCAAACATGAAGTAGACATGAAGCATGGTGACCAGAGATATGCAGCCTAAGGGTCTTGAGTAATGACTTTTTGTTCAATTACTGGTATGCAACTTAGTTCCTGATAGGCATGTTGTCAGATGTTAATCATGAAGTAGGATTGACAGGAGAGAGGGGGGGTTCTCCCATGACTACTGACCCATTACTCCTTGGTATGCAACCATGCAACTCACTTCTTGTTTTGTAGGCACATCATATCTGACCATACTGCTGCCAATGCAAACCCACTTGGAACCTTGTAGAAACAAAAAGTGTATATATAAGCCCTTGACTTCCTACAGACAGGGTTTTAGCCTTTGGATGTGAGTCCACTGAGTCAGCACCAGTGTAATAAACCTGCTTCTTGTTAGCACTGATGCCCTTTATGCAATATAACAAATACTGGACAGGAAACAGATTTTATTCCTTACTCTTGTTTCTGTCTAGATAGGCAAGTCACTTGAAACTCTGAATGTATATCTTTTTTAAAAAATATATAATTCTGGCCCTCCCTGGTGGCGCAGCAGGTTAAAGCACAGCACTGAGAATCTAAAGCCGCTTCCACATGAGTTCGATTCCCGCC